CTCTTGACTATATTTTATACAACAAAAAAAAGTTTGTATTACAGCCAAGTCTTCATGCTGTACTTAAATACCTCCACAGAAATAAAAATACATATTAGTAAAATCAGACAACAAGCTTTGTAGTTACAGCAAGCTGACAGAAATGACCTGGAATTAAAAAAATTGGTTCTCAAACCTATTTTCATAGATTCCTCAAAATGTTCGCTCTATTCTTTCTAAAATCTTAAAGCACAGGCTTTCCGTCTTACTACTGATTTCCCTAATTTACTTTATAAACAATATATTAGTTAAATATGGATGATGATATTATTTTAAAACACCCAACAGAAACACTCAGGTACTAGAAACCTGTAATCATTCACCTAGGACCAGAGAAAACGTTCAACAACAAGTTCAAAGCTTTCATTCCAGCTCGGCGCCTATGGCTCAAGTGGCTAAGGCGCCAGCCACACATACCCAAGGTGGCGGGTTCAAATCCAGCCCAGGCCTGCCAAAACAACAACAGCTGCAACCAAAAAATAGCCCGGCGTTGTGGTAGGTGCCTGTCGTGTGGGTCCCAGTTACTTGGGAGGCTTGAGCCCAGGAGTCGGAGGTTGCTGTGAGCTGTGATGCCACAGCACTCTTACCCAGGGGGAAAGCTTGAGGCTCTGTCTCAAAAAAAAAAAAAAAAGAAAAAGAAACAAAAACAAGGGGCGGGGGGGATCGTGACTGGTTTCATAACAAAGTTTCACAATTCTCTAGTATCTTAGCTCACTCATATTCCAAAGGAGTTTCTAGCATTCACATGAGAACTGAAGCAGGCAGCTAAGAGTGGCAGCCCCCGGACTGGACGGGGGTGAAACAGTGAGTGTGAGCTCAGCATCAGTGGCCTCGCCATGGCAGTCTTAGAAAAAGTAAAAAAGAGACAGAGAGAGGTCTCAGTACAAACTGCTAAACAGAACTTTGTAATTTTCTGTTCACCAATACAATTTCTTTGAGTTTTTCCAGGAAACAGCAGAACCTCCCTGCAGCCCTGAGATAACTACAGCGCCTTACTCTACCAGGACATCTGGAGAAAGCCAAGGTAGACTGGGACCGAGACCCACTGAGCCTGCACACAGGGCTGGAAGAATGAACACTGTTAACCTCCAGCTCATTATAGTACTAAATTCCCACCCTGGGGAAGGATTTGCCCACCATTTTTTATTCATGGGATGTATGAACTAGCACAATTCCCCACTGCAGCCCTGCACCCACCCCAAACATACACGGAGTACACCCCCTCAATGCATTACTCCCATAAAAACCCCTCAAACCCGCTAATCTGGGGCAGCGCCAGTAGCTCAGTGGGTAGGGCGCCGGCCACATACACCGAGGCTGGCAGGTTCGAACCCAGCTGGGGCCTGCTGTGAGGACCAGATCAGCTCCATTTTGTTGTTTCCACGTAAGTTACTGTTCCTGGGCCCTGGCCTGCAGGGCCCACCCTATAACCCTCCCCATTCCATTCCTAGTTGCTTACCACACCCGCAGGGCCCACCCTGCAACCTTTCTCATTCCTTTCATAGTTACTCAACCAAATAGTACCACCCTGGGCAACAGATAAGTTTCTATTACCTTGAAATACAGGTAACCAGGTTGCACCAACTCTAGCCCCCGGTTAAGGGACCCTCCACCCCTTACCTGTACCAATCCAAATTCACCTTTACTAATGAAATCACCAACTACCAATGAAAAGTGTACTCGTATCCGACCCTACCCCTCTTGCTTTCTGTACCCCATAAAAACTGCCTTCACCCTGAGTTCAGGGCTCGTCCTCGGCTTGCATGCCAGGAGAGTCCAGGCCCGGGTCCCCGGGCTTCCCGGGTCTGTAATAAATCTCATCTTATGCCCTTTACATCAGAGCGAGTCTCAAGTTTGTCGGTTGGGGTTAATTTGGGAGGCTTTCTCGGACCCAACACTGCTAAACAACAATGACAACTACAACAATAACAAATTAAAAAATAGTCGTGCATTGTGGCGGGCACCGGTAGTCCCAGCTACTTGGGGAGGTTGAGGCAGGAGAATCTCTTGAGCCTAGGAGCTGGAGGTTGCTGTGAGCTGTGACACCATGGCACTCTACCCAGGGTGACAGTGAAACTGTCTCTGTCTCAAAAAATAATTAATAAATAAATAAATAAAACCTGCTGGCTCGGCGTCTATAGCTCAACCGGCTAAGGCGCCAGCCACGTACACCTAAGGTGGTGGGTTCGAATCCCCAGCCCGGACCCACCAAACAACAATGACGGTTGCAACCAAAAAATGGCCGGGCGTTGTGGCGGGCGCCTGTGGTCCCAGCTACCTGGGAGGC